CATTGATGTGGAATATTTGGATCCCTCGTACTGGGGATCTGATGGGAAGAACTTTTGTTCGTTTTAATGAATTATGAATAGAGTATGATTCAGTATGATTACCTATTGCTTCGTTTTTGGTTTGGCATAAAAATGTTATAATTTATTTGTACATCACTTCATCTGTAGGCTTATGGCTTTTATTTATAAAAAATACTGCAATTTTGTACCTGAAATTGTATTCATCGAGGTTTTTATTTATTTATTTATTTATTTTTTTGTGTGTGGATTTCTTGGTTTAGTTGCCACCCAATAATTTGACGAATGCTTGTGGTACAAAACCAGGTCCAAAAGGGTGTCCAAAATGGAAACCCTGTGAGGCGCCTGTGGGCCCCGGCATGGCAGGCGCCTCGGCATTGTGTTCATTTTGGACACGACTTTGTACCCGTAGCAGAACAAGACTTTGACCATGAAAAGGTTATTTGTTATGAGTAAAAATCTGCAAGCCATTGAAAAGCAAATAATTTTTTATTTCATTACTTTGGTCAGTTACTTAAATTTCATACTATTATGTCGATCGAGATTGTAGGGTTTAAGTTGGGGAAGGTGACGATGGGGAGTAGAGAAGTGAGAATTATATGTTTTGAAATGTTTTGTTGGCAACTGAATTTTGCACTATGCTATCGTTTATTCATTGAACTTCGTCGATCGTCCCGTTACCTATTTAATTGAACTTTGTTAATGTCCATCACTTATCAGGTGAGACCCTCCTGGTCCAACCCTAAACGCTCTCATATGAAAGAAAAAGATTAATTACTAGTCTTTAGAGGCGTTTGAAAACATGCTTTCGTGGTACATGGAATGATGACATGTCAGGTTAACTCCGGCCAAATCAACTCCACATCATCACAAACACCCTTTAACCTCTCATTCTATGAAATGCGACTTCCCCAATTAAAACCTAAAACCATCTAGCGCGATTTCCAGAATAGTCAAAGCTCAATCCCAAAGTCCTATAATCAATTTGACACTCGAAACCTAATCCCCAAACTCAGAAAATCTGATCATCGATCTCCATCCAGCCGTTTGTAACCAGTAGAAGAGCCCAACCAGCAGAAGAAGCATCTATTTGATTTGAAAAGTTCGACTTCGAGCAAGATAGTTGAGCGTGCACATTAACAGATCTATTGAAGGTAAATTCGATCGTGCAAAGAAGCTGTATGATTGAATTTGACTATCTTCAAATGGGTTTTCTCTCCCTCCATCTCTAATTTTAACTTCTTTTAGTTTGATGGGTTTCTTTTTTATTTCTATGGTTTATTGATCTTGCCATGGTATGATATGTGATAACATTTGATGATCTTGAATTGTGAGGAACTACGTAATGACCCCAGACGTGTCCCACATCTTTAGGATAAGTTTAGTTTGTGGGTTTCAATTGGGCATTCTTCTTTGCAAAACCTTTTAAGCGTGATTCTACTCATCGTGGTTGTTACAATTTTGAATGGTTTCTATTTCTGCATGATTAATTGTGCAATTGAATTGAACTTGAAGCTGTGAAAAAAATTTTTATCTGACCAAGTCCAGTGTCGGTTAAAATTTGATAAGATGAAGAAGATGTACACACGACGATCTTAGATATAGTTTAGTTTTGGTTGGTCTCGACATTGGAGCAAGTCAATTAATGAATGTGCTATCAATATATGGCAGATTGTGAGGAAGATTCGGTCCAGGATTTCGAGTTGGAATAATGACATGCTCCAATTCATGTGGAGCGCGAAGCACGGTCAGAGTGTATTCCAATTCAGGACAATCAGGTTCTGGACATGGAGGGGAAAACATACAACAGCAGTAGCTGTGCATTATTTCAGTTTCTTCTTTGTTTTTGTCAATGTATGCTAGAATCTAAGTGCGGACCAGTGAATAAGCCTTTTTGGTCTGGATATGTATGCATGTATGGAAACTCTGGGAATTTTATGAAACTTATGAAAACCGTTCCACTGTTGTTATGGAAATTATGGATGATTTGTGGGAATAGTTGTGGAAGTTAATGTTGATGTTATCTGC